AACCATGAGACAATAAACGCCTCGAAACCCAACTTTTATTCGCAAAAATATTTCAACGTATCATCTGCCCATTCTGGATGTGGTGCGAATGACACCATAGCTAGGTACAAACAAAAGTCCAATCGGTAATGTAAAATAAGATCACAGTTTGAGGCATACTCGTCTGATTTATGTAGGATTTTCGAAACTGGGTTACTTTGTGTCTCGAAACCTTGCAACGTGTAGACGACATTTGACTTTGCAAAGATGCAATAGATTAAGTAGCAGTTTTTCCTCGATGTCACATTAACTCGTGAGGTTTGCTTAAGTCGCCTGCTTTGCTTCCATCTCTTCTGCCATTTCAGTAGGCATGCTGCCGCCCTCCTCCCTCGAGGACTTGAATTCGACTCCCTTAACTGGTACCGCATCCTCGTGCCTGCAAGCATCCATGGGCACCTCCTGTTCTCCCAGAAACTCTGCATCCAGCCTTCAGGCTTTCAATTTAACCCCCTCGGCCTGCATGTCCCTTTCTCCGACCAGTCCGACTAGCACATACCCAGTTGACAGGGTGTGCCATGAGACTCAGAGGCAGGGCAATAGATCCACAGAGTCTGGCCTTATCGCCTGTCCACCGCATGCTTTGGCCACACTGACAAGCGCACGTACAAGGACGCGAACACAAACACCGGTGCTGGCGTCGAGTCGAGCCGGAAGCCCGAAACTCTCTGGCCCCCCGACGAGGTCACCAACGCCCAACTCCTTGAGATTAACTCCAACGGTAACGCCGACACCGACAACAACGCCGACGCCAACACCAACGTCGCTCTCGACCAGCCTGAGCAGCAGCAATCCCTTTTCTGCAGTGGCAGCGGCCGCTGCCCTCGCATTGACCGCGAGCGCCGATGCAACCGGCTACTACAACCACAACCACAACCACAACCACAACCACAGCCACAACTACAACCAAAACCTCAACCACAACCACAACCAGGGGCACCTTAATCAGCACCAGCAAATGACGCACCAACAGCAGTCTTCTGCCTACTACAACTACTACTATGGCCAGCCGCCTAGGATGGCGGCCGACGAACCCGTCGACTTGTTCCAAGACCCCCACCAGACGCACCAACTGATGCATCAACCTCTACCTAAACATTTGATTGCGTCGGCCAGAGGCGGTTCGAGTCAGTCGAGCCTGTTGAACGTCCTGCCGCCGGGTCGAGACACACCACCACTGCATCTCGTCTCGACCTACCATCCGGAGACGCCCAGCCTTACCTCGGCGAATGCATCTGTGGCCGCCAACACGCCAACATACACGAACGCCAGCGCCAGCCAGTCTCCGGCGGCCCTAGGACAAGCCAGCTCGCCCCCTTCACCGTCTGCCTCGCAGACGCCCGGCGCCTCTTGGGATCTACTCTACCCCAACCCGACATGCTATCCTCCCTCGGCGGGGGGCCGGTACCTCGGCGCTGGGGTATCATGTAAACGTCCGAACAACTTGACTCGAACCTCCGGGAGTGTGGCCAGTGGCACATCGGTTGCCGAGGCAGCCTCGCCTCCCTCCTCTCTGACTCTGGGGCAGAGCCCTTTCCTTCAACAACCGCATGTTTCCCCATTCCCCCCTCCACCACAACCGACTCCGCACAACTACTCCTGTCCTCCCGGTATAATCCAGCTCCACTCAGCAGCTGCACTCTCGGCGCACACAGATTCTGTCGCCTCATTGTCCTCTTCCTCGTCTTCTTCCTCCTCCTCATCATCATCCTCGTCCTCAACCTCATCTGCCGGTCTCAACG